TATGTGTTGCTGGTATATTCCGGGAATGTATATATAGACACCGGATTGCGAACAAGCATGGTGCGAACGCGACAACAATAATCACAATACTAATAACAGAGGATGGGTGGATTGGCATGCAGAACAAAATGAAAAGAAGGTGAAAGGAAACTGCCTCACGTGGTAACTTCAATCCCTTCATAGCGATGGATTCAAATCGACCACATCGTCATGAGCTGCCGCTGGTGATGACCCTTTGAAGACTGCCATTCCCACTTATCTGTGGACATAGGCCATGCTTTCTGACGAGCCAGATTGCTCCTACCTCTTGTAAATGTCAGTAACTAAGCTGACGGAAATGGATACGCACAGTAGAATGTAAGCGATTGTTGCAAATCGTCCTTCATAGCGGAAATCTCTAATCGATTCCCAGTTCAACTAACAGCCGAAGTAATCACTGGATACTGGACGTTAATCAGTGAAGCTATCGAAACGTCGATCAAAATACCGGCGAAAGCTGACGAGCGGTCAAAACACAAATGATGGTTTTCATCGTAGTCAGCTGTTTTAGTTGGTACTCCCAGAATAGTTTCTCTTGATTCCAAACTTTATGCAACAGATAAATCTCTGACGCCAGCCCATAGAGAGCCAGAGGAGGGACAGCGAGAAGTGGTTGGCAGCAAAGTGTAAATATCGGAAACGCTGCGGTTATCGGTAACACTCGCGATCTTTCTGGCTGATTAGGAGCACGAGCTTACAGAACGTGAGCGTGAGGTAATTTAAGTGTTCCACGGCACATTGGTTCACGTTCAGCATCGCTGACTTCAACGACGAGCTGAACGTTGAGGCTCAGTTCAGCTGGCCCCCATCGGCATTAGACCTGTCAACCCCTACCCAAACTGGGCAGCTACTCAGTTAATATCAGTCCTCCATCTGAAATTAAAGTTGCCAGGAAAATATGTTATCTGAAAAGGTTCAAGGTTTTCGGCCCAGATGGGTTCCTTTCATCGGTTCTGAAAATGAGTTTAGTTTTGGTTTTAGAAGTGACGAAACTCCTAGATTAGGTGTGGCAGAGGGAACAGGTTTCAACTGAGTGGTTTAACGTAAAACTGTTCCCGGCTGATTGGTCGTAAATCTTAGTCCTAGATTAGGAGATCACCGGTAGGCAAGCAAGCGTTTTTCGGCTCAAACGCCTAGTTACAGCGTAATTTATAATAGATTAAGCAAGTGGTGAAAGGAGATGCATGCGAAGGAAATCAGAGCTCAGAAAGTGATGATGCGATTGTGATAATTGGCGTTTGTATGTGTGAAAACTCCATGACTGACTGTAGTTCTGTAAGGGTGAGTGGGTAAGTTAATGAGAATTCATGAGCGAAGGTTACGTCACCTGATTGTAAGTGGATAACCATAGTAAGACTCTTCGCATAAGGCGGTTCTGTAGACGGATGGCAATCGCCTCAAGTTCAGGATTTGACCTCTTTGAATATCCCTCCCGTTCGTCAAATCTCTTTCATTCTCCCGCTCGCTCTTAAAGAACTGCCCTCATCCAGTTTGCATACATTCACAAATGCGGATTATCACAATTACATCATCTCTTCCCAAACTCTGATTTCCTTCGCTAATGTGTCTTCTCTCATCACTTGCCTAATCTATTGTAAATGGTGTTGTATCGAGGCCCTTGATGTAGCATCAAAAACGAGCTTGCTTGCTAACTAGTGTGAGTCAAATTATGGGAAAAAACTTACGAAGACTTCGCTTATCAAATCCCATGAGGTGTTTACAGTTTGGTTCGTAACACGATTCACAAGATCACAGTTAGAAAGTTAAATTGGAATGTAATGTTTTTGACGAGCACAGGAAAATATATTATGTAGTTGGGTGTTGAAACATAATGTTTGCCAGAGCATGATCAGGCCGACCAATGTTGGCGCACAGACCACGTGAGGTGGTAGAGAGTTTCATTTGCTGCACACTCTGTCTGCAGTCGAGACGGCCCTTTTGGAGTGCCAACTTCAGTGGATGCCCTCTGAGATGAACATTGGTTGATAAAACCAAAAGAGCTCTACACGGATGGTTGGGCTGTTGGAAAATCCGGAACAGTAAGATCATATCGCTTCTGATTTGACGATATTGAGACGAGTATAGCCCCAAGAGCTGTAATCTTTCGCCATAGGNNATCCGATACAGTGAGATCATATCGCCTCTGATTTGACGATATCGATACGAGTATAGCCCCAAGAGCTGTAATCTTTCGCCATAGGTCTTGGAATGTAGACTTTTGACCATCTTGGTAACCATTCTCTGCGGATTTTCAAGTGCCTTCCGATCTCACTGCAGCCATGGGTTCCAGGCCTGAATTGAGTACTCGGTGTATGGACGGATATATGTGGCTAACAAACGTGGAAACAGCTCAAACGATCCAAAAACACGTTTGAGCAGTCCAATCTGTTATGCCGCCATGGATGATGCCGTGGAACAGTTTGTGGAGCAACTTAAGTCTGTACGAATGACCACTCCCTGATCCTTCTCGGATGAAGCATGAGNGCAGCCATGGGTTCCAGGCCTGAATTGGGTACTCGGTGTATGGACGATAATATATGGCAAACAGACGTGGAAAAAAATTCGGCTCAAACGATCGAAAAACACGTTTGAGCAGTCCAACCTGTTTTACCGCCATGAATGATGCCGTGGAACAGTTTGTGGAGCAACTCAAGTCTGCCCGAATGACTACCAGATTTTTCTCGGATGGACCATGAGGCAGAATCTCGTGTTCGAGAGTGTAGGAATGACGACCATTGTGACGTAGTGATAAAAGTTTACATTTGGCAACGGTGAATTCCATATCATTGGAGACAGACCATCTGTGGGCTTCGTCAAGGGCGTTCTGGAAATCAAATGAATCTTCTGGTTTTGTTATTGTCCTCCATATTTTGGTATCGTCCGCAAACAGCAGAGTTTGTGGTCCGAGGACGTTTGGAAGATCATTTATAAAGGCAAGGAAAAGACGTGGGCCTAGTACAGATCCCTGTGGAACCCCACGGTTGACATCTCGACCGCAGACGTCACTCGTTTCCAGTCAGTGTGTAGCACATGGAACTCTCTACCACCTCAAGTGGTCCATGCGCCAACACTAGCATCTTTCAAGCGTCAGCTTGATGATGCTCTGGCAAACATTATGTTTCAACACCCAACTACATAATATATTCTCCCGTGCTCGTCAAAACATTACATTAATATTTTACTTTCATGGACTAACTGTGATATTGTGAATCGTCATCCGAACCAAAGTGTAAACACCCTATGGGATTTGTAAAAGCAAAGTCTTTGTAAGTTATATCCCATAGTAAAAATTTGAATTTGAATTTGAATCTCTTGGATCAGAAAGTGAATCGGAAACACGAACTGACATGGTACGTAGGCGATGAAACTCCTCGATCCAGCCAAGTACGAGTTCACGGATTCTATAATTATACAGCTCCCGTATCAGTATTTGATGATTTACTCTATCAAATGCTTTAGAGAAGTTCAGGTAAATAACATCTACCCCTTGGCCTTGGTCTAGAGCATGAGTCCAGTCGTCCCGAGCCAAAATCAAGTTAGTTGCACATGAACGATTTTTTCGAAACCCGTGCTGGACTGGGGATAGTAAGTCATTTTTCTTTAGATGATCCATTACCGAATCTGCAACAATAGGTTCCATGACTTTGGACAACACTAGAAGGAGAGTGACGGGTCGGTATTTGGCTGGGTCACTACGGCATACACCTTTGTAAATTGGTGAGATGACACCGTTTTTCCACACCGGAGGAAGCACGGTATCTTCGAACAGTTTTTGGTATAGCTCACTTAAAGGATTGGCTATGTGACTTGTCAGGGTGATAAGGGCTTGTGGATGAATATTATCTAAACCCGGTGATGAGTTCTTCTTCAAAGCCCGGAGATTTGCCTTTATCCTGTCGGGAGAAAATATAATGTTTGTCAGTAATGGGTAAGAAATATGTTCCAGCAAACGGGGAAGTACGAACCCAGCGTTACTAGGGGCATTGACCACTTGAGAGTACTGTAGTCTAAGCATTTCTGCAGCCTCCTTGATTGTCACTGAAACACGTTCTGCTCAGTTTAGTATCGGAACGCCGTGGTTAACTTTTCGGGAATCGTTTACATGATTATATAGTAGCTTAGGGTTTGCGATAAACTTCCTCACCAGCATATCATGATAATTGTGCTTGTCTTCCCTCCAAATTTGTACAATGATGTCGAAGGAGCCTGTAAGCTTCCCAAGTGTTGGGGCATGGACAGCGTTTGAACTTCCTCCAGTGAAAGTCCCTTTGCATTATCCATTTCCTAGTTCGACTGCGAATTGCTGATTTTTGGACAGTCGGTTGGCGGAGACGCTTGTAACAGCAGCCACCAATGTTGTGATGCAGTTAGTAAATTTTCTCCAGGATTCCAGGGGATGGCAGCTTATATTAGGGAAGGTCCACTGGATTCCATGAGCCAGGTTGTTTAGTCCTACATAGTCAGTTGTGCTGCGAAAGCGATCCGAAAAAGCTGTTATTACTGATAAATAACAAACTATTCGAACAATAATACAGCGTGATCACTGCACTCCAGCGGAGTTGCGATTGCAATTGACTCGACCATCAATTCTTCATTTGTCAATACTAGATCCAAAGTTGACGAAATTTGGTTGGTTCCAAACCTGGTGGGTTGCTTCACATGATTGTACAATGGATGTGACTGGATGGACTGCTTCAACTGTCGTTCAAATGGCGTAAGATGTAGTCACGTTGCTCAGC